ACCATAATTAATATAGGAGTACCTTATCATCCATGCATCTGCCAGTGTGTGTGTGTGTGTTTTTTACGTGATACCATTGCCTCTGTGAGACGCTTTGACTGATACCACGTTGAGAAGTCTGCGAAAATATGCCTAGTCATTTTTTACCCATTTTTGTCCGGCTCTTTGATGGAGTCTGGCCTAGGAGCATATTTGATTGCTAAGTAGGAGTTTTTTTATGATACATAACATGTTAACTATGATTATGGTTATATTTACCACATAGAACACTTAATGATTATTGGTAATATTAATACTTATAATGATAAGGATTTTTGTTATTCAATTTACAGATTGTTATGATTATTATTATTCCTGTTGTTGTTGCTTCTGTTATCATTATCATAATCATTATGATCATTATGATAATGATTATAATAATAATGATAATCATGACTATCATTGCTATTAATGCCAATATTGTCATTATAGGTATCATTATGATTATCATTATCATTTTTCAAATTGTTATCAGTACTGTCGTTTTTAAGAGTATTTTGATATTCTTATAAAGTCTAATCAATGCAGGATAATCTTAATTAAAAAAAAAAAAAAAAAAAAAAAAAAAACACATGATAAAAGCTGTTAGTTAAGAGAAATATATGTCCGCGGCACATTAAACATTGCCGGCGAACAAAAGCAACTGTACCATTGTTTATGATTACAGATGCCAATTAGCCGCTTTGTTAATGGCATCAGTGACACTCAATGAAAGGGAGAACAACTGTGACGGAAAATGTAGCAAAGTTGATTAAAATATTGCGATGCTGATTATATTAATGGATAATCACGCAAATTAGACTTGGTGTAACTCTGATGAAATATGTGTTTGTTTTAAAGCTGGGGCGCTTGTAAAGCAAAGGGAGATATTGGCAATTATTTTACTCAGTACAGGCATTTACTGATAATTGCTTACAGAACAGCATATGGGAATAAGCTTGTGTGTGTATGTGTATGTGTGTGTATGTGTGTACTTTTTCCTTCTTTCCCAAATACTATTATATAAGTCGGAATAGCCAATAGTATATTCTATTAAAATGCCAGAAAATTATTATTATTATTGTTTTACGTGGGGAGGATTCCCACAGAAACCGTTAAAAATGTAATTGAATTTCCTGTATCAGTTATATCGATCACCACGCTAATGCTTGCCCGTTTGAAACAGTATTTGCGATTGTGTCTGTTTGGGAAAGGTCATTGTGGTACTGTGCCATGTTGAACTGCCTTATTCCATTACTAATATTAGTGTGTAAGAGTCATACTGAAAATCTGTGTGGTATTTTGAAAAATGAATGCATAAGAATATATGTATATTTTTTATAATTAAAGATATTGGTTTATAGAGACTGGCAACGACCTGCGTTATTGTATTCCATCTTTTCTAAACACGAAGAGAGAGGAAGACAAGCTTGCACACAAGGTGATATACCCTGGAGGGGGAGAGAACTCGGGTTGGGGGTCTCTCCGTCGCCAAGAGCGGAAACAGGGAACTTGCAACACTCTTCTTATTCTTTTACATTCACTCTGAAAAGCCCCTTTTGAACTCTAGAGAAAAGAGTAGTTCTAAGGCAAAGCTAGCGACAGATTAAAGCTTTATGTTAAAAAGGATGTATGTGATATGAAAGGATTAGGCTTTGAGAGCGCCGGCTAGCAAACATGGCGTCACCTGCACCCTGCCGGCAATTTGGGTAACGAGAGCGCCACGTCACTTTTTTTGCAGGAATCTCTTGAAAAAAATTGTCGGTGTTGATGTATCATTATCGACGTTGTTTTAGTCGTGTCAGCTCTCAACGTTGGTGGTGGTTGTTTGTGCAGCCATAAAGGACTCGTCTTCTTTCGACAACAAAACACGAATATTAAAGGGAGTGCCACTTATAAATGCTGTTATCAGTAACACCATTCACCATGGATTACGACCACTTTTCACTGTAACGAAGCACACTTCATGGGTAATGCAAGCATTGGGTTGATATTCCGCGTGGAGTATTATTCATGACTGGAATCATAATAACGGCTTTGTTGATGATGAAAATAGTTGTAGCAGTGATGAAATAATTGTTTTATTTTATTTTATTTTATTTTTTCTTGTTTTTGAGGGGTGAGAAAATACTTATTTCAAAATTTTACTGATGGTAATACTTGTACTAAGTAATGCATGTGGCAATGATATAACAGTGATAGGATTTGGCAATACTGACAATATGTAGTACGTGGGATGGAGGGGAATTCTGTGCTCACAGACTCGAGTTGCAATATGTACGGCGCATTGCACACAATTTAAATTTGAATATCAGAGTATGCTAATATTGACTCTTGCGTTCAATTTTGGTCTAAATAGATTCACTGAAGGAAGCATACTATATCTTTGTTTTATATCTATAATTTTCTAATTAAAAAATATTATTGTAGAAGGATTTTTTCTGTCTCTTCTCTGTCTCTTCTCTGTCTCTTCTCTCTCTCTCTCTCTCTCTCTCTCTCTCTCTCTCTCTCTCTCTCTCTCTCT